CAAACAAGTAGATTTTGCTTCATTTTTTCCTTAAGTAAAGGCAATTTAAAAATAATAAAGAACTTTTTTTTCTTTCTTTATTCCCCCCCCCCCTCTGATAGATCGAAGGATCCTTTAAAATGGCACAGATTTTATTTTCGTTGAACTCTGAATTTTGGAAAGTAGCAAAAGTTACAAATACACAAGAAGAACGTGCTATCTTAGGATTAGTTAATTAATGATTTAGAATTTTAACAAGAATTTTTTTTTCTTCAAATTTTAGATTTGGAGATGTTATTTTTATATTCGAAAACTGGAGTTTACAAGTGACATCTAAAAGGTATTTAACTGTTTTATTTTTCGAAATTGCGCTAATCTTTTGCACTATTGAATGAGGCAGAACTATAATGATACATTATAATGACATTATAATATTAACTATAATGTTTACTTAGTTTTAAAGATTGTTGACTTTACCATTTCGTTTTTCAATTTTTAGTTCGTAATTCATACTTTAAAACGTGTCCATATTATTGTGTTTCACCCACTAGAATGAATTGACTTCTTTGATATCCAAAAAGAATAATTTAATTTTCTACATTACATTTGGAGTAATATTGGTTTACACACGCCAATGCCTTGGAAAAGTTAAATTCTCGGATTTTCATCTTGTTCTTTCACTTTCTCTTAATTCCATTTAGATACCCATGAAATGATTTGATTTGCGTTCCTAACTTAATATTCAAAACTAAACATGGTTGAATATAGAAGAATTAGTGCATTTAGTATGCTGAAAAGAATTTTCACCATCTTTCACGATCTCTGGGTTGACTAACCTTAAGCACTTAACTGAAGAACACTAAAAAAATAAAAAAATAAAATAAAAAAATTGAAAAATATCCATATCTGCAACATTCAATTTTCATATTAATCTACTTAGTTTACTGTTCAAATCAACGATTACATGATAAGCTCTAGAAGAAACTGGAGAATTAATTTTCTATCCGCCTGAATGATGAGTCTACCTTATGGTTTCTTAAATTAGCATATTAGGGGAATTTTCAACCCTAATGATGTTATTTAGCACTTTTTTCTAAATATCAGAATGGACTATTCAACACAAACTCTTCGTGATGAAATAGATGGATAATATAATTCACGACAAGAGATTCCATACGAAAGTTGAGTATAATATATGATTTTGTATATACAATACTACATATTTGTAGAATAAATACATTGGTTTTGTAGGTTTTATATAAATAAATGCACAGTATAAATTTTTATTTATTTTTAAGTTACGAATACGTAAAAATTGTTTTAATCAGTCATATACGTGGACAATTTAGTCAATAAAGAACAATAATTCTGAACTAAAGAACAATGAAGATTACAATACGCTCATAGAGAGCCAGTTTATTCTCTCACACAAATCGACATTATCATCTTCACAGTCCAAGCAAACTTTTTCAATAAGGAATAATTTTTACTCGTGAGCAATATTTAATTGCCAATTAAAGGCGAAATGGTCTACCAAACTTGTTTTATCTAGAACAGGTTTGCAGGAACAATTGTGTCGAAATATCCTTATGTGGTCCTGATTATGTAAAAGTCTTACGTGCCAGAACGCCCAGGCAAAGTACATTTGGAATCTGCATGGAGTGTCATGGAGGCTTGAAATATAATAGTAATAATTATATTAATTTACTATTTAAAAGCTATTTTATTTTTCTCATTAAACTTCGTTTCAAAAGTTCTGAAAATAAGCGAAGCATTCTTAACATACTTACAATCACTTATCCAATTTTCATTTTTCGACGTTAATTTTGAAATAATGACCATATGATTTAACGAGTTCAGAGTTGTAAAATAATGGACTCCTTCCATGTACAACATTTAAGTACTTTATGAAAGTGTCCTCGAAGAAAATAAGGATTCGCGTTGAAAGAAACACTTATTCTTATATACATTTATACAGGAAATATTGTGGAAAGTCTTATGAGGAAGGAACACTGAATTCTGCCTAACGTTGAATTCTATTATAAAAAAAAATGCAATTGAAGTTTTATTCGTAATTGAACTGAAAATAACTACAATTTTTCATCTCCTGAAGACACTTAAAAATAGTATACTGTGTAGTTATTACTGTAAAGAAGACTCAACTACACATTTTTATTGAAAACAGCTCTCTATAATAATAATTTATTTCGTTGTTCTTAGTTCAAAAAAACAAAACAAAAACTTTTATTTGATCTTGACATTAGGACATCATGAAATGAGATAATTTTATCAACTACATACCTGGCATGGAATTGAAGCTCTCATTTCATGACCTATTGTCAAGATAAATCATTTCCGAATCATTCTGAGAGGTCAATTATTGTTGTCGATTGTGTTCTTTTGTAGCATTAAAAACCTTCACAGCTGCAAATTGTATTTGACCGCTAATACACTTAGCTTGTATCGAAATGTGTTAATTTGCTCGTCTCCTTGACAACAAACTCAATAAAAGACTGAAATGTGTGTTCCATTTTAACATGCAGACAAATACTGTTTTGAAATTCCATTTACACTTTCTCATTTTCACGTCGTAGTAATGCATTACAATTAAATAACGTAAAACAAAATTTGAACTAATATGAAAATGTAGCGAACTTTTTACGAAATTTCATTTTATTTGGTCCCTTAATAACTACTTCAGTGGCTCAAAATGATCACTCGTAAATAAAATATCTTTTATTGTTTTATACCATACACAATATAAAATTACATATTAATTTTAGAATCGAAAACATAAGTTAAAAATCTAAGTGATCGTAATTTTGGGTCTCATGTGCGGATCCTATTGGCACGTGCCTCCTCCACTCATTGACTACGTGCCAGCCTCGGGTAATTTTCAAAGGCGTGCAACAGTGCTTTGCACCCCTTCACGTACGTGTGAAAAGGAGACCAGCCCGCAGCCAATGAAAATCCCGCTGCGATCACACACGGGGTGAAAGGCGCGCCATCATTGGTTGCGTTTGAATTATCGTGCATGACTAGGCTGTAGAAGCGATTATGCGTTAACGTTCGCAGGCGATATTCGCTCAGAACATTGTAAGAAACTTACATTTTGTCTTCTAAATGTGATTGAGATCAATATGTCGGAAGAATTCTTCTTGTAATAAAAATTGCTGACAATGACACAGTGAATATGAAATAATATACACGTAACGAGCGAAATAATTAACATAATACGAGTATCTACATAACAATGTATTGCAGGCTCTTGGTAGTATTACTCACTTGGTCTACAAAACTTTTTAATTATGCAAACGACACTAAGACACTTTCAATTGTAATTTTCGGTTGAAGATTTCATTCATGAGTGAAAACGTTTAGACGAGCTGACAATAGGAGTTCAAGTGAATAAAATGAAATTACTCTATAGTACCATACATTATTTTATACATTTCCAGTATGCCAACGAAAGTTAAAAAGTATAAAGGAAAAAATCTACATTGTGTGCTCCGCCCCACCAGAATAAATCTTTCATTGTTTGAATGTGATTGTTGTCAAAGAAAAATAAGAAAAGAATTTACATGAACAATATTGACAGTGTAATACAATAAAAACATTTAAAATGTATCTAGGACATTATTTCAGTGGAGAATAAAATTATTTATGCAAGGGACATGGAAATAACTAATAGGTTACATCGTTTTAATAAATAAAATTAAAATATAACTGTCACCTTCTTGGACACGTTTACGCTTGGAAATATGTTCCTCAAACATAAAGAATACCAAGTTGCGACCTTCTTACTGAGTAACAACTGTATTTTAATAATTACATTTGTTCAAAGAATTGTCACTCCAAACTGAGCCGGGTTCGAATCACGGTCGGGGTGGCAATTCTTTGCACAAATATGATTATCAAAATATATAATGTTGGTTCGTAAACAGCGATTCTGTTTTAACGTTCGATACATCACGAAATGTGGCCCGTGCAAAGAAAAGGTTCAGAGTTGGCTGGGCCGTCACGTATGTTGTGTCAATAGGCAGGGAGAAAGTATGACAGCCACTTTAACAGGAACTTCTCCGTCGTTCCAGTCCTCGCTGGTGGAGTATCTTCCTGTAGGTAGACATCCCACCCTGGCCCCCCGCTCCCCTGCGTTTATGTAGCTATGGACTTTCTCTTGGCAGACCGTCCAATCGACAGCGGAACACGGCAATGGATCGACGTTTCAGGAAAGAACAATTATTTAGACACAACAGCCTCACTATCCGACGAACCGAGCAGTTGCTTTAAATCAACCATGAAACTAGGAAGGAATAAAACAATTTTGTATATTTACATCGAAACAATGTTTAATGAAACAAAAATGTATTAGTTGTTTTAGAAATTTAGATATTTCAGAACCAGTAGGATCTTACTGTTGTCTAGGAAGAAATATGAAAATAGAAACGAATAAAAGAAGATCATGTTTAGTAAACGTTTACCAACGTTTCAGGAAATAACTCCCAACCTCGAAAGATTTGTATGAACAAGTGAACAGCTGTCGACAAATGAATACATCTAATACCAAAAAAATGAAGGAATTAGGTGTACTAATTTAAAGGTTTAGCAACTACATGTTGAAAAATATTAATGTAAAAAGTCTATAAAAGTATGTCGTAATATTGTTGAAATCTTTCATATAAAACTAAATTTAAAAAAATTTCAATTAAAAATGAAATCGATACCATTGATTCAACAAAAATATTTCCAATAAAGAAAAATCGAGTATTTAACCAAAACATTTCGGAAAATACGAAAGAATGTTTCAACCTTGCGAAATATCGTTTATCGCCATCGCCAGTGAACGGAATAAAAACGCACAGACAAAAGATAAGCGCATTAGCTTCCTCGCTATCACAGCAACTACACCGACGTGCCCTCCACCACCACCACCACCACCAACAGCCGAAGGCCGCTGAGGCGAGCGAGTGACAAAAGAGTCTCGCAACGAAATTCCAGTAGAGCAACCAGGGTGTGCCTACCTCTGCGTCGTCTTCGCATCTTGACGGCACGCAGGGTCGCGTCTCTTGACCTGGCGTACGCACGCACGCTCACACACACTCACTCACTGTTTCACAAAGCACGACACAAGGTCCTCGGGCCAGCGAACGACACAAGGGCAACGCGACGCGACTCGCGCGGGTGTATACGGCCGCTTGCAACGAATGAGGATCGCGCACTGGCTAGCTTCACAGCGCGACCGACTGCCAACGGCAGCGGTGGCGGCGGCGGCGGCGGCGGAGGGCGAGACGCGATGTTGCCACATCGTCGGCGCCGCGCACAGCTGATTCGTACGCGGCCTAGCAGCTGGGCTGGTGGTGGCAGAGGTAGCTGCGGTAAAGGTTGCGGCTGAGACGGCGGCGGGGGCAGTAGTGGTGGCGGTGGCGGCGGCCGCGGCCGCCGAGACGGAGACGGCGACGGCGGAGGCGGTAGCGGCGGCGGTGGCGACGGTAATGCCTGTGGCAAAGCTGGCGACAGCGAAGGAAGTGAAGGTGGTTGCGGTGATAGTAAAGAGGGCAGCAGAGGTATGCTCCGATTTAATAATAGTGACTTCTGACTTTTGATCAGCTGGGTCGCGCGTATTCAGTCGGGGGTTTCATTACGACTTCGTTTTAGGTATTGCGGCTGGGTAACCGCGTCCTAGCTGATCGACCGTCACAAGCCGCTAACGTTGGTGGGATGGTGGGGGGGGGGGATGTGGTTGTGATAATTGAGGAAGCGGCAACCGTGGGCTTAGCCGTAGCGGTGACAGGGGTGGGTGTGGCAGATAGTAGCGGTAGACGTTTCGGTTGTGCTAAGTGAGGTCAAAATGTCCGAGGGGAGGTACATATAAATGGACGGCCATAAATAACATTTTGTCCAATTTTACGTAACATTTCATGAAAATATGTAATGAAATTCAGCAACACATCCTAAGAATATGTAATATGTAAGAAATTCAGCAACACACTCTAAGATTAGCAGCAGATATAATTAATTTCCGATATTATTTTTTGAAAATGTAAAGAGGTACAATATATGCCTTTATAAACTAATATAAACTAAATTATTTTTAACTTCGAAAAATGGGCAGATTACTTCCTCACCCCCGTTAGATTTTTTCTTTGCTTACGAATTGTAACAAAATTGCAGTCGTTCTGCTCAAGGCCATAGAGCACATCCGTTCTATGCTCAGGGCCAGGTAGTTTAAGACTCCTCTTTTATTGCCTTTTCAGGCTTTCACCCCCCCCCCTCCACCTGCAGGACCCCTTGTATTTGTGGAGGCAGTGGTAGACTATTTGTTTGAAGTCGTACAAGTGTCGTATGGTGGTAATGTTCGTTGTGGTGATTGTTGTGGTTTTAATGTGGAATTGTTAGCTGCAGAGATGTGTGTGAATCAGGTGAATTTGGCGAGTGGTGCACACACGCTAGATGTGGTAGCATTGTTTCTTGTAAAGTAAATGTGAGTTGAAGTAATACTGTTAGTTGTAGTGTTAGTCGTAAGTCGTAATGGTGTCGCAGGTGATAGCTATGGTGAGGCCTGGCCAACCTGTGACACGCGGCCCGCTGTAGCCGTCCAAGATAAATTGAGCTGCCTGCCGGACTATTAAAACTTTGAAACACACATGGAAACTTTTCTTTCTGGTGTGTAAACAATGAATATTAATGTAATGAAAATTTAACTAAAATAATTTAAACTTAATTAAAGTTAAATTAAATTGCGTTTTGGAACTGCAACGTTTTTGTATTTTCAATTTGTAAATAACTTTGTGTTATTTTCTTGATTTTTTTCTTGTTTTTTTCTTGTTTTTCTTGAGCAGTGTTCGTGCTACGTTTTGCAAACCATTGTGATTTTGTTAAGCATCATTGTTACTGCGGCCGGCTACTAGTACTATGTTATGGAAGTCGGCTCGTGAAGACAAGTTTTTGTTCAAATATTTTATTTATTCCAATGTTATACGAGATTATTTTTACGTGTTGTTCTTGAGCAGTGTGTGCGATACTTTTTGGAAAACTGTTTTGTGTTGTTTTATTCTCTTTTCTTGCTCCTGCGTGCCACTAGCGTTAACCTAAAGTGCGGCCCACCAATGATGTTAATACGAATGTGGATAATAAATATGCTGTTCCTGATACCTCAACACGTGAACAGCAAATATTGAGCAGGTTGCAATACAGTTTGAGAGTAGGCAGAATAAAATAAAATACAACGAAATAGTTCGGTTTTTGACATAAAAATTATAACAGTTGATTATTTGAACGGATGAAAACCAGTACGGTATAGGCGACATTTTATAAATTCTGAGAAAAACGCTTATAGTTTACGCTATATTTCAGTGGAAATTAATTCTCATGGTTTTAAAGAACAATTGAAATGCCGTGGTTTTAATGATGACACAAAGCACCACGACTTTATCGTTATATTGATTTTAATAAAGAGATTTCTCAAAATTTATAAAATATTACTTATATCGTTGTGGTTTTCATCCGTTTAAATAACCAAATATTTTCAATTTTACGTCAAAAACCGAACAATTACGCGTTAAAGCGTTACAACGGCACGTGGAACTATTCGGGGTGGCCGGGTTGGCATCTGCGACCGTGGCCAATGCGTTGGTGGCGGTGGCGGCGGCGGCGGCGGCGGCGGCGGCGGCGGCGGAGGCTGCTTCGGGAGTCGGCCAGTTGGGTCGCGAGAACAAGAGGGGGGAGGGAGGGAGACTAGTAGTAGTACACCGCGTAGCGCAGGTCTGACCCTGAGGCCCAGGCCGACCCTTGCCGGGAGCGGAGCGGCGTGTGCCCTTGAGATGGCTGGTGTGGACGCTGTGGCTGGCCTTGGGGCCCCCTCACCCCCCACCCTACCGACCGAGCGGCCGGGCGAAGACCTCGTTGCAAAGCCCACCCTCCCCTTCACACTCCTAGCTGCCGGTGGTTTAAAAGGTTTCGCCGATCACCTTTAAACATGGCCGGACCTCGCACAGTGCCCTGTCTCTGCCCCGCAGGGTCCTAGGGATCGAGTCCCGACGGTGGCAGGATTTTCGACCCTCGCTAAATGGCTAGTTCGATTTCACCCACTGTGTGGAGGAGATTTCTAGCGACCGGGTAGCCTCTGATCGGTCGTTTGCCGTGGTTTCTCCGATCTACTCCAGGCGAATGCCGGAGCAGTAACCGGACTACCGCGCGCTATTTTTCCTTCTTCATCCTTGTCCTCTCCTCACTCCCCCCCCCCACACACACACGCACACACACGCACACACACGCACACACACGCACACACACGCACACACACATACACACACACATACATGCACTACATTACCGCACACGTCGGGAGACCAGTGTGGTGTCAGCTTCGTGATTGACTCAGCGGGGGCGGTGTTCCCTGATGGGAAATACCTGGTTGGGGAAAATTTCACAAATCTACATGTAGATCGACGAGGGAAGCCAGTGGGAGAAGATCACAGTCACCTCCACCGATAAAAACATGCACTACACTTACGGCACTAATGACAGGTGTGTGTGGCTAACAGCTTCCAATTTCGGGCAGAGTGAGCTCTTGGGCGGCAGTCATAATGTGACCGATTTTGCTCAACGATTGAAGGAAAAACTGTGACACACTACAAACCAACATCCTTTGCATTCGTCACTCTTTACTATTTCAGTGTCGCGAACAATTTCGTGCTCGCCGAAGGAAATTGCTTTCCTGAGAAAGAGCTTTGACGATAAGAGCTTCTTCTGTGCGCGTCATATGTCCACGTGATAAGGGATGTGTACACATTTCCGGGAACATAACGATCAGCGTAGAGCCGGGGTTCCCGAACAAGTCTGCATCTACGTGCCTTCATTCTACTTACATATCAATCCCTCTTATATTATTTAGTGTACTGCGTGGATATGTACGAATGCATTAGGAGGTATTAGCAACACAGTATCGACCAACCTATCCATTTTACAGACTATCCTAAACCAATATCGAAGGAAAAATTTGAATGTTCCCTGGTTTATTTCCAATTCACAAATCATCGAGAACTCCAAGTACCACTCCTATCTGAATTCATACTACAAACCCCTCAATTATCTTTTTCTCCCCTCCCGGCATGTCCCAACACTCCAATTCAATTCAATCTCGGTCAAAAACGCAAATTAGCCTCTGCGCATTAGAGCCATATTCACCACGGATATTTTTCACCCACCCTTATTTGTGTCCCTTTTCCCTCAAACACCCCCTTCACTTCTAAGGAATAAATTCGGTTCATTCCCATAGATATAAGTATCAAATTTTTAAAATAGTGAAGGATTGTGTTGACACACATTTGCCTGAAGATGGTCAAATTAATTCAGAAGACATATGTTAAAAAGAAGAACATACATTTAAAAAAAGGAAGTATTATTTGACAAGTGGTGAAAATTATCAGCGTTTGAGTTGTTGAAGGAAGAGAAATGAAACGAAAATACGTATTGTAATACAAACGTGACTTGTTAGAGCGAATAATACACATCATGTTTTGAAGAATACAGATAACACTATAACATAAAGTAATGGTAATATTGTTTTACCGAACACTATGTTTGAATATGATTCGAGATATCGAGTTTGAAATATCGTGATTAAGATATCGAGTTTGAGATATCGAGTTCGAGATATCTTGTTTGAAATATCAAGTTAGGGGAATCGAGTTTGAGAAACTGTACTTCCAATGTATATCTTTATATCTAAGTTTTGTGCAGTGCTGTCTTCAGACTACTGCACAGTATTATCCAGGTAGCAACTGAGACTGCGTCCGGTAGTAAAGGGGTCGGCTGACCTTGCTTCGATGGCGGTGGCCTTGGCTGCAGACAGCGATCCCGTTGCAACCTGTCTCACCCACCCACACTGATGGTTCCTGCTTCTACGTACAAGGCCTGCTGCCGAATCGTTCCCTCAATTGAATGTCGTCTGATTCAGTATCACGAAAATTATTTTATTCGCTTTGATTACGTCAAACTTCCATATAACTTTTCACTAATGTATTTATTTAAGTTTGGTACTTGTAACGTATTTCTAATGGCTTTGAAATGTACAAAGGGGTGTTTATGACATGTCTTAAAAAATATTTTGCACCGTTTGTATTTTTTCCAACATAGCTATATGCTGCACCTCCCTAGACTAGACAAACATAAGTAACGTCCTATTGATTTTTATTCTTTTTTTTCTTGATATGGAACGAACTGCTGTACTGTA